ACTATGTGTCATATCAAAGATATGAAGACCAAGATGGTGTGGCCTTTTGTGTGATCGCAGTCTCCTTTCGCTGTATACAAGTTGTTTCATCTTGTTTCCGCAACTTGGTCATGTTGGTAGGAAGACCTAGAGGAACACACCTAGTCCGCAGACGATTGTATGCATGATCATTTCGAGTGTCGGACCGTGGACCTAGTGAATTCGCATGAGAATGTATTTTGTATCTAATTTGGAATGTTTCTGAGCTCTTCTCTATTTAAGCCGATGAAATCGTTTATTTATTAATCATAGCCTATTGTTAATTATGCATCCAAAACTCGGTTTCATACTCTACGATTTTTTCAACTGATACAAGATATGCAAATAAATAAGGCGAACTGATTGTGTTTTTTTGCACGCCAACATTTAATAAATATGCCCTTTTGGCCCCTATTGCATAGAAAAAAAAGTGTATTTCTTAGCAGATTTTTTTAAATTCTATTTTTACTTAAACCTTATGAAAAGCCCATCATTTTGACCCCCTTTTTGGAAGCTGACCTTACATCTGTCTCACTTCAAAATCGACTGTAAATGTTTCTAGTCAACATGCTCAGAGTAGACTCGGATTATTGTGTTGTCATGGCCCTCTCTATTTTCATTGTACAATTTCTTTCTCTAGTCGTGTAAGATTATCTCCAAAATGACTTTGTATTTTCGCAGAGTAAACCCTATATTATGTGGGGATATTCCAGATTATGACTCTCCTGAAGTCTTATATTATTATTATTCTTTTTAAACCTCTTGCCAAAAATAGAGTGGTAAATGAAGTTACCATTACCTAAATTCAGTCCTCAAAATAGTTTATTCATATGCCCATTTATGTTTAGATATGCCAAACCGTAACTATAAATGAAAATTAAATTCAAAATTATGTATATATATATCTATTTATATATAGATTTTATGGAGTCTTCATTCCACTAGGCACTTGCCAACTACCTACATTTGTGTTTTATTTTATTTAATTTTTCTCTATTATTTCATCACCATTTTTACTCTACCTCCCTTATGCAATTATTCCTCATTCCTGTCATGCTGATTATGGTATTTCATATCACTTCGTTCTAAAGGAGGATGCTATTATGCTCGAGGCTGACTTGGATAAAGAGGAGTTCGAAATACCATATCCAGCTGGAGAGGATTCCCATATTACATTTCCCGTGGAAAACGAGTTTTTTCGAGAGCTCGAACGACACACAGGACTCCCTCTGCGTGCTGATGCACTTCATCCAGCGCCAACAAACCCAGGATTCAGTCTAGCATCCAACCAGGGGCTCAATGGGGTACCAGACATGGCTACAATGCGGGCGACAGCACCGGTCCACTTACAAGACAACCGTTCAGGAAAGAAATCAACTTCCCAAAAACAGCTGAGCTCACCGGCTGATGCTTCGGCCTCAACTGGTCGGATTTCTGACAACCTTTTAGTCACTGAAAGGCGAGTGAATGGATCCGAGGGCCTCTTGTCTCCAGGAGAAAATGCACAACAATCTAATCGTCTGGCTGAGTAAGTTAACAACTTGACTGAATTTGGCCAGCTATGCAATCAAAAATAGTTTCTATGTTGAGATACATGCGATGTAGCGCTTGCATTTTTGCACTATTCCCGAGTCAACTAAACGTGTTGAGACATTGCAAACGTATTTTCTTCGTAATCTCCTATTCGTGGTTGGTATGTTTCACGACTAACAATAGATGTTGACACTATAGGTCGCATGATGTAATGATTACTTTTTCACAATTCTATGAAGGGGACTCAAAATACCACAGCCCCACAAACGATATTGTCATCAAGGATGGGCTTGACCTCGTCTTGACCTCGTCAGCACCCACAGCGAGATTCGATACCGGATCGAGTTACCATTTCATCACACTGCGGTGGTGGCCAGTGGGTCAACGAGCAGACGTGGATCCTGACTAATAACCTGGTGTGACTTAGGCTGATTTGTCGTTTGATCCAAGAACTCTTGATAGTATCCAAATCCACCTATTGTGTTCAAGGTAGCATGGTCGATTATAATGGTGGAAATCTTGTCTTGAAAATCACATATGCCAACACGCTCACAATCAGTTTCCAATCCTGTTGTGGGTGTTGGCGAGACCCAGGCCAGGTCGAAACTGCAGTTCAGTAAGTTTCTCAGCAAGTCCCGACGTCAGAATGGGTCATACTTATCGGATTGTGGGAAAATTCACTTATCACGTGCCGCCTAGGCTGACTACCATTCTTATTTAAGAAGATAGTTTGCAAATAATTTCTTGTTCCTGTACCACGTTCGGTAGTATTAATGACGTAAACCAGGACAACATTGCCTCGAAGTAAGCCTGTAGGTTTAATAAAAGGTTTTATTGCATTCAATTTCAGCTAGCCAGCTATTTGCACGT